AGAAAGTAAGTGTTTCATGGAAAGCGGTAGTAGCTATATACGATGCTGTCAGTTGTCACTCTCCTTTCTGTTCAAATATGACACAATATTGTTTCTTTTATTCTTTGTAACTGCTCACATCATAATTTTTGAATACTCAACAATTCTAAACGGACAGTCGTTTAGATAGATTGATCTTATAAACTCTGAAATTTGTTTACCAGGCGTATACAAATACCATACGCAGCTATACAGGTCTCAATAAGGGTCGATAACTCTATCGCTACAGATCGGCTGGTAAAGGGTCGATAAGTTCTTACATTTGATTATTTAATTATGTGCACTTTATCTTATGACATAGAAGTTTACAACTAAAGATCACCGTACGGCCTTCAACAATGAGCAAAACCCAGCCCGCATAGTCAGCTATAATAGGCCCCGAAATGACAAATGTAAAAAAATTCAAACGAGAAAATTAACGTCCTGATTTATGTACAAAACAATGAAGGAAAAACATATATGATATACAGCACCTGTATATAGACTCCTGGTTTGGGACAGGCACATACAGAATGTTAGCATGTTTAGAGTTTACAATTACCTGAATTAGTCTGAAAAATGAAGTCTCGATTTTATTTTATATGCCGGTACTCTTATCCCGGAAATATGTTATGAAGTTGAGTATTTGTTGCAGAGAAAGTGGTTAGTAGATGTGATTCTATCATTTCTATCCCCATTCTTATCAAAATGACACAGTATTGTTTCTTATTTTCTGTGCAAACTGCTCAAAAGAAATTCGTGATAAAGGATTATGCAATGCTTGATTAAGTATTGTAATCTGTGATTACGATCATTCGAATTGAAAGTAGATTTTAGGAGGTCCTAAGACGTAGAGTATGTCTTTCTTTCAGTAATTATATGACTGATTAATAGCCTGTAAATAGTTCAGTGGTTGTCGTTGGTTCATGTCTGTCATATTTGTTCTCGTAAATTGTTATATTATAAATTATGCCGTTTGTTTTCTCAGTTGAATTGTTTCATATTTTTCATGTCGGGGCCTTTTATAGCCGACCATACGGTATTGGTTTTTCTCATTGTTGAAGGCCGTACGGTTGCCTATAATTGCTTACACCCACTTTATTTAAACTTTGCTTGATAGTTGTCTCATTGGAAATCATACATCATCTCCTTATTTTTATATAGCTATTTAAAGTAATCGATTCGATTCCGTTTTACCGGTATATAAAAGTCAAAATTTGACGTTCACATAAAGGTACGCGCCGCCAACTTTCAGATGATCCGTACATATACGTCTGTCTTTCCACTTTTTTTTTATCAGGATCAGGAATATATATCCAATATGAAGGAGAACAATAGGGGATATAAAGTTACCTTTAAAGTGAAAAAAAAAACGACTCGATTCCGTTCTACTGTTATAAAGTTAGCCGATAATTTCGTTATTTACCATATAAACATGCAAACCATTCAGAAGCAAATTTTTGCTAATGTTGAATGACACACTATGACTTTGAGACTAGAACAGCAATAAAACACTCACCCGTAATGATTTTATATCTCGAATTTATATTCAATAACCTTTCTATTTCACCATTAAAAACAATCAATTTTAGAAGAGAGGCGAAAGATACCAAAGGGACATTCAACTCATAAGTCGAAAATAAACTGACAACGCCATGCATGGCTAAACATGAAAAAGACCAACAACAGTACACAAAACACAACATAGAAAACTAGACTGAGAAACACGAACCCCACCAAAAACTGGGGGTGATTTCAGGTGCACCGGAAGGGTAAGCAGATCCTGCTCTACATGTGGCACCCGTCGTGTTACTCATGCTATCACAAACCCGGTAAGAAGTCTAATTCGGTATGACATATTCGAGGGAAAGGGGACGTAATTGTCGTTACGACAATTGGAACATATCCGCCATCATCTTTGAAACGGATATTCCATAACGGTCAACCAACTCGTGATGGCGTCCGTAAAATTTACTGTACAGGGATGATTTCAACTTAACCACTTGGAACTCTTGGTTTAATAGCTTCCTTGTGAGCAGCAACCCTCTATCAAGGAAATCATGATTGGAAATACAAGCCCTGGAATATCGTATCAACTGAGAGATATATACTCCCTCTGAAGGCGATGCTGGAATGTTGCTACATAGAAATTTGGAAGCTGAAATCATCTCTTTCATCGCAAAGTGTTGTTTTCAACCGACACTCATTGTAAATTGCTAGATGTAAATCGAGATATGAGGCAGGCTTAACTGTATATGTTGTATCCTTTATCTGAAGTTCGATGGGATAGATGCGTTCAACATAGTCACCAAATTTTTATTCATTTAGTGAGAGAACATCATCAATATAGCGGATAGTAAAGTTAATTGATACTGCTAACTTCTTTTCTTTCTTCATTAGAAGTTCCTGTATAAGGCCAGCCTCGTATGAATAAAGAAACAAGTCGACAAGAAGAGGAGCATCGTTGGTTCCCATGGGAATGCCGATTGTTTGTTGAAATACACGTCTTCCAAACGTAACAAATATGCTGTCAATCAAGAAATCAAGCATCTTGATAATGTCAGTTTCAGAGATTTTTTTGTTGGAATCAGAGTGATTTTTTACAAAGTACGATTTATCCCTCCTTAAGACAAGATACTTGTATCTACGTTGGCCATTCTTCTTTATGAAACAAAGCAAAACCAACTCTTTCAATTTGTCTTTTAGTTTGGAATGGGGAATACTTGTGTAAAGTGTAGAAAAGTCAAATGTTTTAATACTGTTGCATGATGAAAGAGTCTTAGTAAATATACTGAGAAAAATAAGTTTAGCATCAAATAATTTCAATATCATATTCAAAAATTAATTATTTTTCTAAATATAACATTAAACAAACTATTTTAACAAAGAAAATCCACCAAAAGACGCAAATCTTAATCAACAAAAAAATTTATTAGAATTTTATTTCCGCAACTTTGTAAATTGTCATTTTAAAAAGTTTTTTTTTTAATGAAATATATGTTTTTTACTCGGCATATCGTGAAATAAAAAAGATATATATACTTATACTATTCATTGGCATTTTTGCTTAAAAATCTTGAAAATTAGTCGATGATTTGAACTAAAAAAAATTATACAGATAAATAACTAAAGCAATACACAGTACATTTCAGAAGTTTTATACGGCATGTCCGATAACTGTAAGTATAAGCATATGATTTATATAAATAAATCGTATTTGAACTTGACACCTGTAAGAACTTTTCTGAACGCAAAGGGTGTACAATTTACATCAGATGATAACCTATGTGTTCGAAACGCAATGCTAGATTATAAGGTCGTTAATGGCTCTTCCTTCACTTATGTTTGTTTAATTACTAATTAGCAATGACTGAATTGTAACAGATTTATTTGGTTCAGTTGCACATAGTACGTCTTATTTCGATACATAACAACAAAAGAAAGGGGGTAAAGAGCTGCGGTTAAAAAATATTTGAAAATTGTGAGATTCTGCTGAATCAGTAATATTTAAATTCGGTTTGTGATATTGTTCGTGTATTTGTACAGTATTTGAAACTGAGATTGTCCATTTAAGGTTTAAAATCACTGGCCCCAGACAAGTTTTATTTCATCGAGTGAAAGGTAGTATAGGATCACTAATGTTAGATTTTTTGATCAAGTCTTCCTTTTTTAGGGTATAAATGTATGCACAACATATTCTATTATCCACAAGCGATATCTAGTGTCAATTCTTTATTTCTTTGATTTAATTTATTCGATATATATATTTTGAACAAAAGTACTTTTTTACAAAATCACACATCCCCTCCCCCTTATTTTGAAATTGAAAACGAACTTCGAAAAATACCACCAATGTGAGCTGGTTCCTACTTTGATTTCTTCATATGGGTAACAGATACAGGGGAGACAGTATTTTAGATCTAGACAGCTTCTAATCTTATTTCAGTATTAGTTCAATGAAAAGATAACTAAATTTTAAGATATATAGTTACATAAAAATGACAATTCATCAATATGATTACCATCTCAAATAAAATAACTGCTTATTGATACTTGTAGACATATTTACTTCATGAAATTGAAATTTCCAGGGCAAGAGTATTTCGTAAGAGTAAATTATCGACAGGAAGGTATTTCCTGGATAAGTGTATGACAGCGGTCTCGGGTTCACGTATTGCTTTTCTTTTAAAGAACGCAACTTGTTTTTGCAATGTTTCATTCGCAACCAAAATTTTGAATTCTAAAAAATCTCGCCCCTATGCATTTTTCAAGACAAGGCATGCTGGTGGACACGAACAAAACGAGGACAAACAACAAAGATGATTTCATAATGGAAAAGTAAAATATAATGGAAAAAAAATATAACAAAAATACAAAATTCCAAGGTATATTAAAAAAGGGGAACTCCATAAAAACTGACAAAATCAAAAGTTATCAACTAACGAAAAGAATGGAAACTAACTGTCATATTCCAGACTTGGTACATGCATTTTCCGAAGAAAATGGTAGGTTGAACTTGGATTTATAGGTAGCTAAACGTCCCACTTGTATGCATGCGACAGTTTGGAGCTTTTATAATTGTTCAGTTTCGAAATTTAATTTTCATTTGTTTTAAAGTAGCGGACTTATATATGAAAAGAGTTTAAGAATTCCACACCTCCAAGCCCAAACTCTAAATTCTCTTATTACCTTTCTTTCTTTGAAATATTTTTTTTGGTTCCGTACGAGGAAACTCAGTAAAATTTTATATTGTAAAAAACATATAACCAGTGTTAACGATGCACCTTAACTAAACATAGTACGGTATGGTTTCAATAAAATTTACAAGCCTATACGACCCAAGCTGACTACGAATTTATCCTTTTGATGAACACATTAAAGACATTTATCCGCATAAAATTGAAATACAATAAACAATTATAATAAAATAATGATTTTTTTTTAAATTAAATGAACTAGCAGTCTTTGATATTAAAAAAGAAATGAATGAGTCAGTGAGCAACCTGGAACCAACAGTAAAATTGTATTATTCATGTTAGTCCCAGGTGCAACAAACTCTCAAAATTCTCCATTGCAAATCACTGCATGTCTATTTAATTATATATTAGTTTTTTCATTCTTAAATGTATATCAAAATATTTTTCAAACTTAATATAATGTTCACTTTTGCTATTAAAAGATTTCCCTGAGAAACCACGTGGATCATGTTTTTCTGATTGGTCCGTCACTGATTCTTAATAGAAGTAATTCAAGTGTTCGGTTTTCAGTTACAATCTGCGCTTTTGAGTTCTTGGTGACTAGTTCAGTTTATTTCATTTACTATGCATTGGTAAGTTTTAATGTTTGTCTTATATTATAGATTTGCTTCTTTTTATTTATTTATTTGTTTAATTTATTCTTTTGTCTAACGTTTAAATTTTGTGTACACGAAATCAAAATTTTGTGTCTATATTTCATATTTTCCCTCCTATTGTCATAATATTGACAAGAATATTTATTTTGTTATGCTTATTGTGATGTAAAAGCAAAAAATAACGTCACTGAAACCAAATACCGGGGAATGAGCTATTTGAAAACGGTCCGAAAAATGTCTTAGAAAATTCAAGGTCAGCAAATATCCGGTTTGTGTTTTTATACCGTAAATTTTGAAAAGCCGAGAGAAATAATATTTAGAGTATAAAAAGTACATTTAATATTTTCCTAGTTCATGGTGTTTTCTTACGGGAAACAATATTATTGTTACTACAGCAATTAAACCAAAAAGTATAGCCATCTTGTCACAACGGAAAAAAGAGCGATATTTTTATTTACATTCGAGATTTCAACTAGCTGTATATCAAATATGCCTGGTCAGATGAACAAGTTTTCTATTTCAAACTAAGTATTTCAACATTTTTTTCATTTTTTTTTTTTTTTTATAAAGAAACAGAAATTTAAAATCATATCAAAAAGTATGCATTGTGTCCACAAAACGTAATTGACATCATGCTCGTTTTCTGACCTTTCTTTTCATTTCATTTCATGTATGAATTTAAACGAATCTATGACGCTTTTAAGAGGATAACCGTGAGAGAATCCGAAGTTATGCTATCAACAGAATTTGAGCTCGTAGAAAGTAAAATATGCAAGTTTAATGCAAAGCTGAGCCAGATATCATTTCCTTTTTTGTTTTATTTTTAATTTGTTATCAACCTGATTATTTATGAAATTTTGCCACAGGAAATTAAGCAAACAATAATCTTTCTTAATTCGTCAGCCATGGATATTTTGGTTCAACCAAGTAAACAATACGCTAATACTTTTATTTTAAGATGTCCCGAAGGTGCATTTTTATCTGGACGTTTGTAATCTAGTAGTTCAGGACACATCCATACGAAATGATTACATACAAACAAAAACATCTGCACCTTCATTTAGGAAAAAGGAGGGTGACTTGCTGAATTTGACGGTATTTTCATTTGTTGCTGGTATATCAACATTGATAACTCATGCTTCGTGTAGGTTAAAATCTATGATTAAATAGATTTATTATAATACCTGCTTATTACTTGCGATTTCTATGGATGAACTTAAATAGGCCGTTAGTTTTCTCGTTTCAATTGTTTTACATTTGTTATTTCGGGGCCTTTTTATAGCATACTATGCGGTATGGGCTTTGCTCATTGTTGAAGGCCGTACGGTGACTTATAGCTGTTAATTTCTGTGTCATTTGGTCTCTTGTGGAGAGTTGTCTCATTGGCAATCATACCACATCTTCTTTTTTTTATCTAGTTATATAAGGTTATTCAATGCATTAATAAAAGTAATCAATTCTGATGATTTGTCCATTTACCATTGGTACTTTTCAATTTTATTTGTTATCCGTTTTTTTCAATTACATGTTTTTCATTTATTTGTACGTTGAATGTCGTTTAGCATTTGGAAAGATTTGTAAGGCATGATTTGAATTTTACCTATCTATTCCATATTTACCGTATTTATTATTATTCATTATTTCATGTTTAGAGTTTTGTTTTTTATTAAAACACCCACATACGCCAAGGTTTAGGATTTTCGAAGCAAATTAGATAACCCTGCTACAGCTGATTAAATACACGATTTCTAAATAGCTACTTGTAAATCTAGACTGGGTCTCCTCTCCCTTGCAACATACGGGTATCTGAGTCAACAGATAAGGGACAGGTGACAATATTAAAATAAGGAGATGTGGTATGATTGCCAATGAGACAACTTATGGCAAGCTGTTCTCGTCAAAACTATGTTTAAACCATTTTTTCGAAAAAATTACACACTGAGAATTTAAAAAATCACACTGAGATTTAAGAACCTTAAATAACACACTGAGAAATTGAAATTACACACTGAGAAATCGAAATTACACACTGAGATTTAAAAATATGAAAAACACACACTGAGAATTTAAAATTACACACTGAGATTTTAAAAAGACACACTGAGATGAAATAAATTGAAAAACACACACTGAGAATTGTTAATTACACAATGAGATTTCAAAAATACACACTGAGATTAATATGCAAATTACTAATGAATATTCATGAGATGAATAATTCAACAGATTAATATCTTGGTCTCCCGAACTCTTGTCATTATAATGAAATGCGGTTCCTACAACCAACATTCGTAATAAATTTCAAGACGTAACCAACTTTTTTGCTAACTCGTAATCATAAGTTTTTTTGCCAATAATTCAGATTATTACTAACAGTATATCGGGATTTTTGCTTAAAACTGTTTAAGCATGGTCCCTTTTCAAAAGTCTTTCAACTGTTACCCTGATTTTGCAAGGTAATTTCTTATATTTTTGTTACGTATATTTTCAACTGTTACCCTGATTTTGCAAGGTAATTTCTTATATTTTTGTTACGTATATATGCAATAATAGGCACTCGGGGGGGGGGGGGGGGGGGGGATCACTGCATTGCTTGTATTTTTTCAGATTGTTCCAATGTTTTCTTATCATTCTAATAAAGTTTTCACCATTTGGTTATATTTTGTAATGAGAGTAAGTGGGTATTTTTCTTGTTCTATTGGTCTTTAATAACGTAGTTTTTCTATACGTTGTATTTTTAATGTTTTTTATAAAACATTTAGCGCCCAATTTGAAGGACTAAAGAGTTCTGTCCCCTTGTTGTTTTAAGCTTGTAATAGATTCAAATTAATTATGCTAATTAGATATGTGCGCATAAAAAGTGCGCACAAATCTCAGTGTGTGATTTTAAATTCTCAGTGTGTAATTTCAAATCTCTGTGTGTTTTTCAGTTTATTTCATCTCAGTGTGTCTTTTGGGAATCTCATTGTGTAATTTTCAATTCTCAGTGTGTGTTTTTCATTTGTTGTAATTTCAGTGCGTTTTTATGAAATCTCAGTGTGTAAATTTTAATTCTCAGTGTGTGTTTTTAGGTTTTTTAATCTCAGTGTGTTTTTTTTTTTTTTTTAATTCTCAGTGTGTAAATTTTTCGAAAAATGGTTTAAAAATAGTTTTGACGAGAACGGCTTGCCATAACAACTATCAAACAAAGTTAAATGAAGTGGATGTAAGCAATTATAGGCAACCGTACGGCCTTCAACAATGAGAATAACCCATACCTTACAGTCGGCTATAAAAGGCCCTGACATAAAAAATATGAAACAATTCAACTGAGAAAACTAACTGCCTAATTTATAACAAAACAATTTACGATAAACAAATATAACAGACATGAACCAACGACAACCACTGAACTACAGGCTCCTGACTTGGGACAGGCACATAAAGAAATTATGTGGCGGGGTTAAACATGTTTGTTAGCCACCTGGAACAGTGGTGTAACAGCACAACATAAGAACACACTATAAAAATCAGTTGAAAATGGCTTAACTCATTAGATCGATACAAAGAAAAACATCAAACTTATAGCTGTTAATTTCTGTGTCATTTGGTCTCTTGTGGAGAGTTGTCTCATTGGCAATCATACCACATCTTCTTTTTTTTATCTAGTTATATAAGGTTATTCAATGCATTACTAAAAGTAATCAATTCTGATGATTTGTCCATTTACCATTGGTACTTTTCAATTTTATTTGTTATCCTTTTTTTTCAATTACATGTTTTTCATTTATTTGTACGTTGAATGTCGTTTAGCATTTGGAAAGATTTGTAAGGCATGATTTGAATTTTACCTATCTATTCCATATTTACCGTATTTATTATTATTCATTATTTCATGTTTAGAGTTTTGTTTTTTATTAAAACACCCACATACGCCAAGGTTTAGGATTTTCGAAGCAAATTAGATTACCCTGCTACAGCTGATTAAATACACGATTTCTAAATAGCTACTTGTAAATCTAGACTGGGTCTCCTCTCCCTTGCAACATACGGGTATCTGAGTCAACAGATAAGGGACAGGTGACAATATTAAAATAAGGAGATGTGGTATGATTGCCAATGAGACAACTTATGGCAAGCTGTTCTCGTCAAAACTATGTTTAAACCATTTTTTCGAAAAAATTACACACTGAGAATTTAAAAAATCACACTGAGATTTAAGAACCTTAAATAACACACTGAGAAATTGAAATTACACACTGAGAAATCGAAATTACACACTGAGATTTAAAAATATGAAAAACACACACTGAGAATTTAAAATTACACACTGAGATTTTAAAAAGACACACTGAGATGAAATAAATTGAAAAACACACACTGAGAATTGTTAATTACACAATGAGATTTCAAAAATACACACTGAGATTAATATGCAAATTACTAATGAATATTCATGAGATGAATAATTCAACAGATTAATATCTTGGTCTCCCGAACTCTTGTCATTATAATGAAATGCGGTTCCTACAACCAACATTCGTAATAAATTTCAAGACGTAACCAACTTTTTTGCTAACTCGTAATCATAAGTTTTTTTGCCAATAATTCAGATTATTACTAACAGTATATCGGGATTTTTGCTTAAAACTGTTTAAGCATGGTCCCTTTTCAAAAGTCTTTCAACTGTTACCCTGATTTTGCAAGGTAATTTCTTATATTTTTGTTACGTATATATGCTATAATAGGCACTCGGGGGGGGGGGGGGGGGGGGATCACTGCATTGTTTGTATTTTTTCAGATTGTTCCAATGTTTTCTTATCATTCTAATAAAGTTTTCACCATTTGGTTATATTTTGTAATGAGAGTAAGTGGGTATTTTTCTTGTTCTATTGGTCTTTAATAACGTAGTTTTTCTATACGTTGTATTTTTAATGTTTTTTATAAAACATTTAGCGCCCAATTTGAAGGACTAAAGAGTTCTGTCCCCTTGTTGTTTTAAGCTTGTAATAGATTCAGATTAATTATACTAATTAGATATGTGCGCATAAAAAGTGCGCACAAATCTCAGTGTGTGATTTTAAATTCTCAGTGTGTAATTTCAAATCTCAGTGTGTGTTTTTCAGTTTATTTCATCTCAGTGTGTCTTTTGGGAATCTCATTGTGTAATTTTCAATTCTCAGTGTGTGTTTTTCATATTTTTAAATCTCAGTGTGTAATTTCGATTTCTCAGTGTGTAATTTCAATTTCTCAGTGTGTTATTTAAAAAAATATGAAACAATTCAACTGAGAAAACTAACTGCCTAATTTATAACAAAACAATTTACGATAAACAAATATAACAGACATGAACCAACGACAACCACTGAACTACAGGCTCCTGACTTGGGACAGGCACATAAAGAAATTATGTGGCGGGGTTAAACATGTTTGTTAGCCACCTGGAACAGTGGTGTAACAGCACAACATAAGAACACACTATAAAAATCAGTTGAAAATGGCTTAACTCATCAGATCGATACAAAGAAAAACATCAAACAAAAACACAGACAGGACGTTGCAGGGTATATATTTACAAGTTTACTTTAAACCATGGAAGTTTGAGAGAAAAAGTCATTTCCTAGTGCTTCTCTCTATGAATTATCTTGTCGGTCAGAACATAAAGTTTGTCCTACAATAATGCAGTTTCGGATTTTTTCAATTTGATTTCATAAAACTATTTTGTGTGTGCATGATTCTTATAGGATACTCACTGCAGTGATAAGCCTGTGCATGGCAGAAGTAGCATGTCACTCAACGTTCAGAACATTAATACCAAACGGAAACAATATTGACCATCCATGTCAGCCGAATGCGAAATGGCAAGGGGTTGGACATTCGGTAAAAGAAGGTGGTGGTCCAAGAAATCAGTTTGGTCTCGCTTTTGCTGCCAACAACAAGGTAATATATTTACAGTAGAGAAAAATAAATGGACCCCATTGGGCAATCTGAAGCATACTACTGAAACGACAGAATCATTTAGGACATGAAAACTTTAACGAAAACGAAGACAGACAACATAATATCCAAAAGAAAAGAAAAGAAAAGAAAAAGTATCGTAAAGAAAACACTACACTCGGAAAACTAAAGATCGGTCAATACAAACCCAAACCCAAAACTGTCATGTTGCATATAAGGAGTGACAGATCGATGAAAAGCATAAAAAATCAGGAAGAAAGGAAACCATGGAACATACTCGTAATTAACAGGAAACATACAGTGCTTATCGAAGAAAGACAAACGGAAGAAACGGAAAAGCGATACAAGTTTAAACAATGCAAGTGTGACGGGATTGCTTCCCTTAGTACTTGTAGTATATACTTAGCCAGCCGTAAGCGGTTGAGCTAGCGACGTACTTCTGTAGCTCAGTCGGTTAGAGCGCTGCCTTGTAAGACAGAGGTCCAGGTTTAGAGTCCCGGGGGAGACAAATTGATTTTGAAAAACGAATCGTGCTCTCCGGTTACACAAGACACAGAATCGGAATCGATGTTAATTTGTATAAGTATTATGCAAACATGTACATTAAACTCTGTTTTGGCACTTTATGAAATGCAAAACATTAGAGCGATTTACAACTATAACAGAATAAAAGAGGTTGCTTAAAATATACATATTAACTACCTGTCATACTTATTTTCTCGCTGCGTTGAAGACCCATTGGTGGCCTCCGGCTGTTGTCTGCTCTTTGGTCGGGTTGCTGTCTCTTTGACATATTCCCCATTTCCATTCTCAATTTTATTAGTATGTTAAGACCGAAATCTAAAAACAAATGTGTTTTTAAAATTCAAGATTTTATTTAAGTGATATAAACCAGTTAAAAAATCATACTCTATATTTTAGATCAATATGCATACACAAAGAATATATCATTTTGACATACACAATCTTCTTATATTTTCTTTAGATTTCTATGACCAAGCAAAAAAATAACCCTAGTGCAAACGCTTTACAAAAAAATAATAAATCAAACTCCACATACCCTTTTCAATCAAGTTACTGCATAATCAGATTAATTTGATAGATACTTATTAGAAACGGTATCTGTAAAAAAAAATAGGAATTGAAAAAAATTGTGATGCTAATCAATTTAGGTATGGGACAAAACTCTGTGTCAAATGGATTCAGATGGAGATGGATTAACAAATGGATATGAATTAGGAGATCATAATTGTGTATGGGTAGCTGGACAAGGAATGACACCAACGAGAGTCACAGGCATCACTCATCCCGGTAAGAATTGAAAAACATCCTTTAACACGTACACTCTACATTGTGGAATTCAAAACTTGGAAATACAGACATTGTTTTTACCCTGCAATTTACACCCGGAACTTGGTCTTTTTTCTTTTTTAGCCATGGCATTGTCAGTTTATTTTCGACTTTTGAGTTTGAATGTCCCTTTGGTATCTTTCGCCTCTCTTTTGAAGCTTTCGTTGTTTGAAATCAAATAGTTGTCTCTGATTTTTAAAAGAAATAGATATATTTTAAACACGAACCACGAAGAGGACTCACATTGCCACTTGTTCAACATGGAAGCGTGGTAACATGTTCCTTTATTATAAAGGAAAAAAAAAAATTTTATGTACCTGTTATTTGTACAATAGTTGGTTGATTGCAGGATAAATATGTTTTTTTTTTTTATAATGTAGATTCTACCACACCAATCTGTTGATATATATCCACTATAGATAGTTAACATTTGAAAATTGAACTATCAAGAGTGGATAGGTATTGTCAACGGGATAAAGAGGTATAATCTGTCTCCTTACTAATGAAAATAGCTGGTTGTAACGTTGCGAATGGTTGTGGAGGGAAATAAGTCAAACATTATAACCTGTCGTTTATCAAAAATTTACCAAACTAGTCAAATCCGATTTGATTGCATATATTTTTAGAACTTGTACAAAATATGTACAGGTTCGGAAATTGCATTAATAACATAAACGTTACTTTGTAAAGAACTGCCGAAGAGTCAGTAGTATTGACAGGAACATTGATAATGCTCGAGCCGCGGGTAATAATACCACGTCTTATTTTTACATTAAATTCTGCAAATGTCAATTAAACTGCAGTTGTTGCAGAAATTTGATTAGCTTCATATTGTTTTTTGTTTACAGTATATTTTAATCTTTTGTTTTTTATTTGTTTTAGGAATATGTGATCCTTTCGATGCTCCAGAATGCTACGAAGCAAATAAATACCTCACAATATCATGTACACCAAACTCTTTTAACTGTAATGCAACACAAGATCCTGGTGAGTGAATACCTGAGTGAACAGTAACAATTTCTCTATTAAGGCAAAATATACGGATTTGCAACGCTTCAACCCATAGATATCGACTAAAACAATCAATAACGAGTAACAAGTGTTTAAAATTATCGTTATAGGGAGAAATTGAACTTACAGTAAGTTGCAAGATCGGCATCAAACATTTCCAATGGCTCTGTCACAATTATTCTGAGAGTCTTAAATCGTCTTCGAACGGGTTTTTGAAGCGTATAGTCATCTTTGTAACCATTTTCTTGTTTTATAAATCCCAGGAGGATTCTTTCTCTTCAAAACCTCGTGAATCTTCTGCGGACCTGCATAGGCTGCCCCATTATGTATATATAGTAGACGTTTTCATTCGCTCTGTCCTCTTCTGTAGAAGTCGTATTTGAACATATGTTTTGCTAGACGATTAATCTTCGAACTACGTTCTTCTCTCTTCCAACTAATAAAATACCAGTCTTCGTGTACGAAGACGTAAAGAATATAACAGGAATAAATGTTTAATTTAAATTATATCATTTAGCGTGAAAGATGACATTTTTTTTTTTTTACTATTTGATATAAGTTTGTGTGTATCACTATTTCCTCTATATATTTTCTCTTTTTTGCAGGTGTTGTCAGTTATACTTACTCCTTACCTTCGAACACACCAGTACCGAATACAGAAACAACATATATATGCATGGTATTTGATTTTCCACAAGGGGAGGACCTCCATCTGATTGCTTATGAACCAGTATTAGATAACGCAGACGTGATGCATCATATCACGTTATTGGGGTGTATGCCTGGGCGTATGTATTTCATTCTTATATGTAAATATATAAACACCTTTACAAGTCATTCGTGTGTGGTTGGGGTTTTACTTAAGAAGGAGTAAAATAGTAATTGATGTCACACTGAGTTGTTATATTTAGGGAGTTTTTATTGTACCGGTTTTAGAGTTCTGTAACCAGGAGACTGACTACTGATTGATGATGATAACGAGCTGCAACCCACGACCGGTTGCAGACGTTGGCGATGCCAACGTTAGACAGTGACTAAGACTTAGTCACTTGCCTGGGAATACTCGCTTAAACTCCGCTTGTAGAATTAGACACAAGTCCTATGCAGTAGTTAATAATTTATTGATTCAGGATGGAATACATGTACTTTTACAAATGAGCGGATGTTGTCAGTACGAATGCACGACTCTCACTGAAGTAAGAACTTCAGAAAACATATTTAAATCAAGAATTTACATGGTTACAATAATAGAAACGAGATTACCGAATGACAATAAAATAATACAATTAGCACTTAAAGGACTAACAAAAGAATATAACAAAAATCTGTTGTTTGAGTTTAAGGCTTGATAGTGCTAATTGAAATGACTAAATGATTATTTATTGTTTACATAAGAAAACTTAAGAACTATTCAAAGCTGTGACTTTATCTATTATTTACAAGTAGAATTATCTTGAAACAAATTTTCGACTTTGTAAAAATATACTGACACTTAATTGTTACTTATAACACAAAAAGCTTTATAAAGAAAAATCGTTACATGTTAATAAAATTACTTTGACGGACAAATATTGCAAATAAAATGATTTAGATAAAACGATAATAAGTATAACAATATAATGACATTTTATGACCGAACAGTGTGTCTGTGAAAGTCCAAAGATATCAGATTTAAGAAAACTAATCCTTTTAAATAGTTTTAAATAAAGATGCACAATTTACACAAATTATCGCTATCACACTTCACACTGAGTTGTTATATTTAGGGAGTTTTTATTGTACCGGTTGGAGACTTCACACTGAGTTGTTATATTTAGGGAATTTTTATTGTACCGGTTTTAGACTTTGGTATCTTTTGTTGTTTAATGTTCGAATGTCTTTTTTTTTCAAGTTTTCTATATGAAGTTTCAACTTTTAATCTTATGACAGTAACGTTCGGAAGTTGATATTATCAACATCTGTATCCTTTTAATAAAATTGTAAATTATTCACGGTTGCATAGGAAGAATGGCAATGACTGTAAAACAAAACAAACACATGACAAGATTAAAACGACGGGTGCCACTAGTAGGTAGGAATTGCTAACCTGTTTGGAACAACTGACTTCATATACGTTCATTATTATGGTTTGTGTTGATCAAACAGTTTTTTCTTTGGTGTTTCTTGGTCTGTTGTTTTTATTTCCGTGCACATTTTTGTTGTTGTCATTGTCTTATCTTCGAATGATTGTTTATTAACATTCAGCGGCAAATATTTCATGCACATGCAGGAACAATAAATCAGTAATGAATGTTCTGTAAAGTAGATAGAAAGGACAAGAGGTCTGAAAATTAAGCCTGGAACTGGATTGGGTATTTTGAAATGAAATCGGTCGGATACAGACCACTCAAATGGTCTTGTGACGGTTTTTTTTAACGTGCATGGGACGGCACTAACCCAACAAAAGGCTTTTGATTTCTTTCCAAATTCGTCTAGATGTGGATGCGTAGTATCCCACACAGACAATTGGACACCCCTTCACGTGAATTTTACTTCTGTAAAGCCAAGAGCAATTAACCATGCTGTTGATTCACGAAGTAGCTGTTAGATATTGTTTGGTCGTTAACCAAAAGTGTCCAGCACGTAGCACAAATATACCTTTTTATAAAATATTTGTACTTTGCGATGACCATAGTGTGTGATTTGCAAACGCTTTATGCGTATAGATTAATCTGTTGCTTGTCTATCTCAACACATGAGATATGACATAACAGACGATATGCATTTAGGAAAGAGCGAGTATTAAGTGCCAGACCATTGCAGAACGAATATAAACAACAATTTTGATATCTAAACCTTGTTTCTAGATAACAATTAGGTCATACATAGCAATTACAGCTAGTGTATGTTCGGACTTCTTGCCTTAAATGATCATCGCTAATTATATAAACGGTACCAATTTTACTGCACCAGACGGGCATTTTAATGTCTCTTCATTGATGATCGAGGCTAAAATATTTGAAAATCCAAAGTCTCATACAAATGTGATCAACCAAAAGGACCTAAAGTATAGCCAAAACTGGACAAGGAATCAGAAGTTTGGCAAGTTTAACCCACCCACCAGGTTTAACCCACCATTTTCCTCGGAAAATGTCTGTAACAAGTCAGGAATATTTTTCTGTTGTTCTGTTGAATAATAGCGCTTGATTTTGTCTGTTTTTATGGACTTCCCGTTTTTGAAATTACCTTGGAGCTCAGTATTTTTGCATGAGAGAGATATATTCCTTAATTCAAAATGATTTCTAAAATTGTATAACAGTAAATTTCAATCAAACAATTTAACATACATGTATTTATATTCAATTCTTCAACTCCGGTTTTCAGTAGATTTCATGTTAGTGTAAACATATTTTATTAAATAAATCGTTATGTATAGCTACAAGAGTAAAGAAATAAATACGAAATATACAAGTGATTCCATTATTGGGATTAGGAAACAAGAGCAGTGCTCTTATATAAATCCGTCTCCAGGTTTCATGTTGTTCAACATATACTTTTTTGTGCATTTTTACGTGGAATGTTCGTGGACTGTTGATTTTCTTTTCGTTTTTTCATCCATGGTATTTACTATCAGCAAAAACATACGAAAGGTTTTTTTTTTCTGACGGAAGTGTCAGTGACTTATTCCAAAATCTTTGAGAACAGAACACATATTTTTTTCTGGTTACTGTATTTTGTATTTTCCCGTTGCATTTTGATTTTTATAAGTACAAGTAAGCAGTATAATTTCATGTTTTAGAGACAGTACCTCCTGAAGAGGTTGGCATTCCTCATAAATGTGGAATGGCAGCTTCAAGTTCGTGTCAAACTGTATTAGGTGTATGGTCTCTGGGATTAGCAGGTCATTGTCTGACCGATGAAGCTGGAATCAGAATTGGGCAAAACATGTATACACAAGGTGCTATACAAGTATGTATATTATTTAACCTGTATATATTAGACTGTTGATAATGATGTGATAATTTTTTTCTGAACGAAAATAAAAAATGAATTATTTACTTTCTGTATTTCGTCTAAGTTTTGATTTTCGTACATGCAAATTAGAAATTCTGCAATTTCCAAGTTGAATGCATGAAAAAAAATAATCATACCATGTGAGCGAAACAAACATTGCAGAAACTGGCTTTGCCTGTTTTACATGGGAGGACATACATAACAAAACTTTTGTGTCATCAAAAACCCGGGATTGAACTCAGGTGCTCCGGAAAGGCTAAATTACCAACACACGTTCTTTTAACGGATAAGTAATCTGCGTTTTGTTCTTCATGCACTAATAAACGTGTAGTGTATTAATCAGATGATTACTAATTATCAATACTGTTGTCCCTATCTTGAATATGATAACCCTTCATTATATAATCATGTAGCTAGAAGACGACCATTGGATTTTCGGGGAGGGAGGAGGATTTATTATTTTGTAAATGAACATCCTGGCCTGGTTAATTGCTGAAAATGTTTAGTCTTGCACAAAACAGGATGAATATGCATAATCTGCAACACAATGTGCAGGAAACAATAGTCTATAAAAGTAAAAAAAAAAAAAAACATGTGTACCAACAATGGAAAAGGAATTTCAAATCCGCATAAATATCCTCCATCCCTCTCCCATCAGAATATCAAATCCACATAAATATCCTCCATCCCTCTCCCATCAGAATATCCTCCATCCCTCTCCCATCAGAATATCAAATCCGCATAAATATCCTCCATCCCTCTCCCATCAGAATATCAAATCCGCATAAATATCCTCCATCCCTCTCCCATCAGAATATCAAATCCGCATAAATATCCTCCATCCCTCTCCCATCAGAATATCAAATCCGCATAAATATCCTCCATCCCTCTCCCATCAGAATATCAAATCCACATAAATATCCTCCATCCCTCTCCCATCAGAATATCAAATCCGCATAAATATCCTCCATCCCTCTCCCATCAGAATATCAAATCCGCATAAATATCCTCCATCCCTCTCCCATCAGAATATCAAATCCACATAAATATCCTCCATCCCTCTCCCATCAGAATATCAAATCCACATAAATATCCTCCATCCCTCTCCCATCAGAATATCAAATCCGCATAAATATCCTCCATCCCTCCCCCATCAGAATATCAAATCCGCATAAATATCCTCCATCCCTCTCCCATCAGAATATCAAATCCGCATAAATATCCTCCATCCCTCTCCCATCAGAATATCAAATCCGCATAAATATCCTCCATCCCTCCCCCATCAGAATATCAAATCCGCATAAATATCCTCCATCCCTCTCCCATCAGAATATCAAATCCGCATAAATATCCTCCATCCCTCTCCCATCAGAATATCAAATCCACATAAATATCCTCCATCCCTCTCCCATCAGAATATCAAATCCGCATAAATATCCTCCATCCCTCTCCCATCAGAATATCAAATGGTTTTCCCCTACGCCAATTCATATGATATCAATGGAGTACTAGTAATAGTTTCGAGTTGCATTGATTGTTCCTTTTCATCCTAAATTCCATTTCAAATAAAGGTTTGTCGATCTTAAAAAAAATACTAGTAGACTGACAGTATAATACCAATTGTATATTTTTACAGCTACACTGGACAAATCCACTGCTTTCAAGCAGTCTAGTTGACGGATCAGGGCTGAAACTTTACTTTACACCTAACTTACGTCCAAATGACGCTGGAGTTTTCGTCACTGGTCAGAGTTATCTGAAAATTCCATCGGGTCATGAGATCCATCATGAACAAGGCGAATGTCCAGCCGATTGTACAAAACAGCTGTTCACAGGAAATATTCATGTGTTTTCAGCTTTGAACCATATGCATTATTTGGGTAAATTAAATTATTCTAGAAAAATCAATGTTGCATTTGGCTTGACTGAAAATAATCAAAGAGGTCATATTTCCGAATAAAAACTTCTAGATATAATCTACTAGTCAAAATATTTCACAACCGTACAAAAGTTAGATCTACAGACACTAACAAACCGGTATATACTCGGAAAAGAAATTGTTGCGAATAGATGAACACCACATTTGTAAAGCATTATCTATAAAATCGATAATCACTCTCTGCTTGTTTGTTGGACTTGCTAGTATAATTGACAACCAGCTATAAAATATGAAATTGATTCTGGTCCAAAGCTTATACAATATTACAATATAGTGTCGATCATTCATCTTTTATCATTTTGGTTCTATCATCTATTTGACGTCTGTATTAGGTTTTTGATTTTCAAAAAGTTTGGACTCGAGCATCAATGAAAAGACATAAATTGTCGAAATGCGCACCTGGTGTAGTAAAATTGGTACCTTTAAAGTTATTGTAAGGGCCTATATTTAAGTTTTTGCTCATTTTTTTAATATTAAGTCGCCGAATAGAAACAGCAAAAATGTGTTGTTTTTTTTTTAAATTCTAAATCTTTTATTTTTAGACCCAACCTAATTAAACTTTATGGAAATGTTGCCTGTTATGCCTAGAAGGGAAAACAGCATTTAAAACTTTTAAAATGGCCGCCATTGCTATGGAAACTGGGGAATTGCATTACATTGAGCCCTATGGGAAAATCAATAATGTATTATTTTCTTACAGAATATAGTACAGCAAATCCAGCAAAACTGTACTGAAATGTTACATGTTAAGTGTCAATGTGCCATCTGTCTTTGAGATTATGGAAATGGTCACCGTAACCATGGAAACAGCAAAAATGTCCAAAAATTTCAAAATGCTCCAAAGTTTATGAAACTTTACACAAATAATATCTGGATTGGGCAGAATTGCTTCTTCTTCCTCTTTCTCTCTCTCTTCCTCTTTCGCCGTTTTTTTCAAATGAACTTGTCTGCATTCGTTCTCCAAAACCGCTAGTCAGATTTACTTAAGGTTCCACAATATGTTAGACTAACATGTCTAGTGGTGCAATCAGGGTTTTGTTTGTACATTGGGGTCGATAAAGGGGTACTTTGGAGTGCTACAAGAAGGAAGGGGTCTATTATAAAAACCCTATGGGATTTTTAATTAATTTTTTTTTCAAATGATTTTAACTTGAAAACAGTTAATGAAAGACACTTGGGGTCTTCAGTAATGACTATGGGAACATATGGTCTACTTTTAGGTCAAACGGTCAATGGTCCCTAATAACCTTGACCAGTTTTTTTTTCAATTTTCACAAAATATTTTAAAAATTAGTGAATCTTTTTTAATTGAAAATGTTCTACATGATAAAGTCAATTGATAACGAATTGAATGAATAATAAGGGGTCCTTAGGAGTTTATACTTATGGAAACTTTGTTTTTGTCTTCGTAACAGCATCCTGTTACAATCATTTCTTGTTTTATATATAAATTGTTTGATTTCTTTCTTTAAAGATTAAAAATGAAGTACGTACGGTGATTTAAAAATAATTTGCTTTGGAAGAAAAGCAACAGAAATGTGTTCTATTTAAAAAAAAACATTGATTTAAAAAATTCTTGTTCCTGTATTAAAGTTATTGAAAAAAATTAGCCTCATTCTTCAATGATTGATATTATATTTATTACTTGGTTCGATATGCGTAAACTCCGAACGGTTTAGACAGAGCTTGAAAAAATGCTGAGGACTTTATGTCACCCAATAGATATTATATTTGGTATTTTTTGTCGTTGGGTTACTATCTCATTAATGTATATCCTTCATATCCTTTTGACCATATGTTATTATTTTGTTTTTACGATTCTAGTTTTTTTTGTAACTGTTTTGTAGGCAGTGAAATGAAAGTAGAACTACACAGGAACGGGACAAAGATTGCAGATATAACAAATGATCCCTCATTTGCTTATGATTCTCCTCATATGCACGAGTAATTATTTTTAAAAATTTAGTCGCTTTCTCTTCCTTGTTTTGCTCGTTACCTTTTTTCCAATAATAGCTGTGCAAGCCAAATCAAATTAAAGGTTGGCAATCCTATCCTATAAGGTATGTTTTTTTGTTTTTGCTCAATTATGTCGATTTTTATAGAACTATTTAGTGTTTTTCATGTACTCATTATTATTTTATATTTTCTTTTTCATTATTATTGCATATTTTCTTTTCTTGCACGTTTTAGTCAATGAATTGAGAATAAAAAGAAGAGGGTTGATATTTCAAGAGACATGCACATTGTCATCTCTGGGCTCTTTATAGCTACATCCAATTACAACGTTACATACCTGGAGTTAATTATTTAAAACAGATAACACAAGTAACACTTACAGCAATGTAAATTCTGAGACTCGTATAAAACAATGGTGATGTCAGGTGCTCCGGAAGGGTAAATAAAGGCAACAGTAGTTTACCGCTATTCGAAATTCATAAATCGATTGAGAAAAAAACAAATCCGGGTTACAAACTAAAACTGAGGGAAACACATCAAATATAAGAGGAAAACAACGACACAACAGAAATTCAACACTAAAATGAAACACACACAGAAACGAACTATAATATATATTATGGCCATTTTCCTGACTTTGTACAGGACATTTTAAGAAAAAATGGTGGGTTGAACCTGGTGTTGTGGCTAGCCAAACCTCCCGCTTTTATGGCAATGTTAAATATAACATTAAAATGACAAGATTACATGACAGGACTACAATACAAATAAATGGGAGAACATACAGGACAGAGACACACACAAATAATAGCTATAAAAAGGTACCAGGCTTATATTTTAATACACCAGACGCGCGTTTCGTCTACACAAGACCCATCAGTGACGTTCAGATAAAAAAAGCCCGAAAGCCAAAACAAGTACAAAATTGAAGAGCATTGAGGACCAAAAGTTCCAAAAAGTTGTGCCAAATACGGCTAAGGTTATATGCCTGGGATAAGAAAATCCTTAGTATTTAGAATAATTCATACTTTTGCAAACAGTAAATTTATAAAAAGGACTATATAATAGATATAGATATAAGAAGATGTGGTATGAGTGCCAATGAGACAACCCTCCATCCAAGTCAAAATTTATAAAAGTAAACCATTATAGGTCAAAGTACGGTCTTCAACACGGAGCCACATGTTAACACCGATGTGGTGAACTACAGAATAAAAACGAATACATAAAACTACCTAAATCAGCACATAAAAAAGGCACAGCCGAATAACGTATTAGATGTTAGCCGAAGCATGCCGATTTTATTATGCAAGATTATATTGGTTATCTCAGCCTTTTCATCATATTCATATTCTATATAATACAAATAAGCGATTATATATAGCGAACTAACATTTATATTTTACATAAATCACTATAAACATAATATTTTAAGAATGAAATTTTGTATTTCTAGGCACTCTCCAGCAATTAAGGTTATGCCTGGTGACAGAATCGCCACTAAATGTATATATAAATCAACATCTCGTTCCAAAACTACGTTGTTTGGAGACTCAACATTTGATGAAATGTGCTTTGGTTTATTATATTACTACCCAGTGACAAATATTGCCGGCGCGCGGATTTGTATATCGTTCAAAGGACTTTCCCAATGCGAAATTAATTCAGGAAACATCAATGGTTGTAATACATATGATTTCTTCAATTTTGATAATGAAGCAAGTACAAATAGGTACGACACAATTGTCAAAAGTTGTCCATTATTTGGTGCTCATTCATACTGTTGCATGGCTGCGCAGATGTCCATTAGGAACGACCCGTGCATGGCACCGGACGTATATGATTTGATAATGAAAAGAAATAAGGGTTTGTACAGTGCAGTTGCCTTTCACACTGCGATGTTGACACACAACCGCTGCTTCCTGTTTTACGATTTATCAGTCGAACGAAACCAACAGTTTTATAATTCTATTGTAAACAATTGCGAACCTTGGGGTAGTTGTTTAGAGCAGTGTAACACAGCAATTGATGCTCAAATGAATCATACATGCATGCGCCGTGGTACTTATAAGCATTTTCGATCTTACGCGGTTAACGAAAAGAATATTGAGTGGATTAAATTTTTTGCATCCGTTGCATCTTGTAGAATCATGTAGATTGAGAAAAATTCCTTTTTGAAATTTTTTTAGAATATATTCCTTTCGCTTATTTTTAAATCTAGATACTTTAAATTGATATATATAGAAACTTTATGTACAGATTGTGAAGGAACGACTATAAGTTTCCATATTTAACGAAACTAGAAAATAGTTCTCTTTGCCAATCATCCTGGTAAAATTCATTGAAAATTATGAAAAAATTTAATACTTCTATAGCTTGTCTTGTGCCGTTTATATTTTGATGTTTGCACTATTCTCAAGATCCTATAATTTAAAATTAAAAAACACGAATACATACTCCTTTCAGTTCGGGTTTCTTAAACAGGAAAACACTGGAAATTTATTGCAATATTGATTTTAATAGACATCTGTCATCTTTATTAGAAAATCAAATAAATTGTTATGATATAAACCTTGTTTAGTATCATTTTTGTTGCTGTTCATTTTATGATATTTCGTGTTTATTATTGTTCATTTACCTCATGGTTATACTTACACGTATAAGTGTCATAGCGTTGCTTTATAACAAAATCTTTAAAATTTTGAATTTATCTTAGAGAAGAGTCAACATTTTCTAACTGAAATGAAGATGCAGATGTCAATAAACAAGATCCATTGATTGGCTTCTAGTATACAAATGCAATTTTTATGATAATACGAAATATTACCGTCAGAAAAAGGAATGATTTGTATGAGTCACAAATGCCACAGTTTATCCCAGATCGTAAAAAAAATCCGCCCATGCAACTCAGACGAGCGAACCAAATGATTGAGATTTTACTGTGGGAAAACAAAATTGTCAAATAATATACTAAAACATTTAACCAAACTCTATTTTCGTATTTGTCTTGCATATAGATCTGTACATGCTTCATTGCAAAATAGATCATGCAGTTCTCATCAAGTTTTGCATAATGAGTATTCTGAATACAAGTATATTTTTTATCTGCAATATTTTGTTTTGTGTGTAAACTTTATTGTTTAAGCATACATCAGGTTTTCTCTGTCCCTAGACACTCTATCATCTCTAAAATCACCTAGCCTAATGTCACAAAAATAAGATATGACGAATCTCGTATAAAAGTTCTTTATTTCGTTTGGATCGGATGATAACATGATCGACAGCGGTTAGGCAATCTTTGATTCTAATACGCAAATCTTAAAAAAAATCGTCTCTGCTAAAACTACATATCGGAATGTGTTTGCTTCGCATCACGGTGCGGAGCTATTAGTTTAAGTTGATATACACTCCATCTTGAAATAATTACTTATCACATATAGATTATGATTGGTTGCTTTATGATGCGGCTGAGATACAGCAACAGCTATTGGCTTAAATGAGATAAAGAATTACAGATTTTTCTCGTCTCAGGATAAGACATCAAATGCCGGAAAATTAACTATGTGTATTTCAGTTCCGATCAACTGTTATTAATTCATGTTCGTTTTATTATGCATATATTGCACACTGAAATTCAAAATTGAAATATCAATTATTAATACGTGTTTATTTGCTTTGTTAATCTGCAATATGCACGATTTGTTTCCTATACAATGTTTACAAAAATGCATTATCTGTATTTTATAACTTCTGCCAATCTAGGCACACCTCCAAAGTCGTGTCTATTTGTAAATATTTTAATTTTCAACAAGTAAAGTGAAAAAATTGATAATCCAAGTCTAAAACATCCATTTTATATCAATCAATATCTACAAATACCACATTTCCAATACTAAATCAACAACCACATGCACACATATTACATTAAAGTAGGATAGAGCGAGGCAATCCACAGCTTTTTAGAAAGCTCAAACTTGTGAATAATTGGATCAGTGATGATTGTAAGACCCTCATTTAAGGTCGTCAAACATGGCAGCACTGTTGACGTATTTCCCATTCTCCCATTCTCATTGCTTCTCTGAAATTCCCTTGCCAATTTAATCAAGCTTTCTAGAAGTTGTGTTTTGAAAGTTACCTACAAACAATTCTCATTTAGTTTGAACGATTGAAAAATATGACCAACAGAGCAATCTTTGTTTCTTTTAGCCAATTTTTAGAAATCTTTTTCTATGATACTTCAGGTCATTTTTTTTTGGAAAATCGGATGATTATAAATGTATCATTGAACCAAAGTTAAAGAAATATGTCATTTGCTGGATTTTTCACACATTTGTTTTTATTGCTTGTTCCCCAATATTCTACTTTGTCGAGGAATAGCCAATATTTAAAGATAAAAAGATGTGGTATGATTGACAATGAGACATCTCTCCGCCAGAGACCAAATGACCTATAGGTCACCGTACGACATTCAACAATAAACAAAATCCATACCGCATAGTAAGCTATAAAAGGCTCCGAAATGACAAATGTAACACAATTCAAACAAGAAAACAAACGGCCTGATTTATAGGCTTCTTATTTTTATAAACAATGAGAAAAAGACACTGAGGGAATCGCATGAACTGTAACAAGAGCGAAAATACGTGTGCGTAGATAGGGTAAGCGTGACCTGTTATGCATACATCATCCACCATTCGTATTCATTACAATAGAGAATAGAACACAATCGGTAAATTTACAGATCACACGATTATTCTGTTGTCATAAGATCTTAGACGCTTAAAGTCTCGTGTAGGTCATCCAATTCGTGATGTGGCCTTAAAACTTATATCGACTTACTAGTCAAAAAGCCTCAATCCTGAACGATGAGGTTTTGCATTAGGAATACACCCCTCTTATTGTTGTTTGGTCTTATACGATTATGCACACATGTAACGTATACATTGAGTATGTAAATGTCATACGTTTGGACAGAATATATGCTATTTCTCG